CACCCCACCGGCTGCAGCGCCACGAACGCGCGCCGTCCGCGCATCGGCTGCCACGCCCGCCATCCTCGATCGCTCCACAGCGCTCGGCCCGCGCCGAAGTGCGTCGCGCACGTCGCGACGAGGACGCACGTCGAGGCCAAGACGATGGCTTTCGCGTCCGCCGCCGCCGCCATCACCGCCCGCGACGCCCGTCGTCGACGCCGGGCGCGCGCGCGACGGACGCGCGCGCGCGCGGGCGCTCCGGGCGCGCCCTCAAGCGCGCGGTGGACGCGACGATGGACGCGACGATGTGACGGGACGCATCGACGCATCGGACGTTTTCGCGTCTCGACGCCATCGCCCCGCGCGCGAGCGATCGCGCGGCGCGGCGACGATGTCGCGCGTCGACGACGACGTCCGCGACGGACTGTCGACGGACGCGAGAGCGTCGGACGCGAGCGAGGCGCCGAGAACGACGGATGCGCTCATTCGAAAGCACGGTGCATCGACGGACGCGGCGTTCGGACACCGACGCGAGGGCGGACGGATGACTTCGAGAGAGTTGACGTGGAAGCTGACGCGGCTGGAGAAGTGCGCGGATGCGCTCAGGGGTCGAGGGAAGGCGGTGAGCGCGAAGCTGGAGCAACAGATGGCGTACGTGCGGGACGCCGCGGACGTCGCGGCGCGCGAGGAGCGTCGAGGGCGGGAACGGGCGAGCATGGAGTTTGAAACGATGGCGGTGCGAGCGGAACGATCGCCGTTGGGGAAGGCGCGGAGCATGGGGGGTGAGAGGCGGACGTCGGTGGATTTCGAGAGGTTCGCGCACGCGAGGGAGGCGACGCCGAGCGGACGGCGCGCGTCAGAGGTGGATGACGCGGCGGCGGCGGTGGCGCGGACGTTGGACGCGATCAATCACGAACACGGTCTCGGTGGTGACATCAAGCGCCAGTGGTCGGAGGTCGGGGTGAGATCTAACGGGCAGAGGCAGTTGGACGCGGCGCTCGGGCGGGAGTCAGAGCCAAAGCCGAGACGCGGGGACGAGCAGACGTATTATCGACGGGCGACGCGCACGACGACGAATGCGATCGGTAGGCTTTTTGGTCTATCTTCCAAGGAATCGGATGAGAAAAATGACCGAGGTGGGGTTACGCAATCGGATGACAGGCCTCCGGCGAAGCGCCGCGCGTCCTCTCGCGGCAAGAAGACAGAGCCGATCATGGTTGACCTTCTCGAGAGCGAAGAAGAGCGAGGTGAGGATGATCTGGAGACGTCGACGAAAGTCCTTGACTCGTCGGATGCTGTGACGACGTCTGGCGATGAATTGCGTCGATCGACGCGCTCGAGTAGGTACCGGTCGCTTCAAACAGAGTTGGGTAATTTATCCACCATGTACCCGGACGCCAAGGTAAAGGGTGCGGTGCAGATCACGCTGGGAGACTTGGAAAACCTGAAAGACGGTTCGATGTTGAACGATCAGTGCGTTGACTTCTTTTTGAAGTACGTGCAGATCGAGACTATCGGGAAACAGTTTCCCGACGTGCTCTCAAAAGTGCACTTTTTCAATAGTTTTTTTTATCAAAAGCTCGCGCAACGCAACGATTTAGAATCCGGCGTGGACGCTGCAACGGCTTCGCACGCGCGTGTCAAGGGCTGGACCAAGGGTGTGGACGTTTTCGAGAAGGAATTTCTATTGATACCCGTACACAGTGGTTTACACTGGTCTTTAGCCATCGTGTGCTACGCCGGTTTTGATCAGAGCGAGCGAGATCCGATGATTCTCCACATGGACAGTTTGACTCAGAGCGGCGGTCACAACTCCGAAATGGTGGCGAAGAATGTGCGAAGGTACCTGAATAAGGAGTGGGTTGCCCGCGGTAAGGGTGACGAGGAGGATAAGTTCACTACGAAAACTCTGCCTTGCCTTCGTCCCAACGTGCCGAGGCAACAAAACGGATGTGACTGCGGCGTGTTCATTCTTGCCTTTGTGGAAAAATTCCTAACTGAAAAACCGCAAATCTTAGAAGAATCGCAAGTAAGGCTAGCGACGCAGAGGCGGATTTTCGGTACGACCGATACGGATGTATTTCTGCGCAAAAATTGGTTCCCGAATGAGTGCGTGGACGAGCTGCGGATAAAATTGACGGCGCTCATCATCGACTGTGTCGCGGCGTCGCTCGAGGACAACGACCTTTCAAAGATAACTCTAAAAGAGGCGCGCAACCACCATCTCAAGGAACTTGATCATAGACAACTGATGACGAAGCGGGCTGAGTCGAGGGCCGAGAAAGAGCGTCATCAAAGAATCGAGGCGAAGGAGGAACAAGCGAGGCTTAAACTCAAGGCACAAACTTTGGATTCCAACGATGAGAAGAAGAAAGACGAGAACGCCGCCCAGGCCGAGAATGATGAAGACGAGGACTTTAACATTGGTATCGTCGAAGATCACGACCGCTCACGATCGCAACCGCGGACGTATACGAAGACAACTCAGTCAACGTTTCTTGGCTCAAATTGGAACAGGGCGAACGACAAGACAAGCGTCGGCGGGTCGTCCAAGAATGTGGTAGCTTTCTCGGGTCAGAGCTACCGAGTCGGGAGTTATAACTCCTCGGTGAAGCCAGCGATGCCGAAACCCGGCGGCCCCGGATCGAGCGCATCGGATCTCATCAAAAGACACAACAGATCCCAAGCACGCTTGACCGAGGAGCGATTGTCAGAGCGAAAGGAGACGCAGCAAAAGATTCAACAATACACATCCAGTGGCGGTACAGGCGACGAGAACGGTGATCCAAAACCCAAAGCGAAGAATGAATCGACACTTCTCGACAGGCTCAGTCGCATGCGAACCGCGAATCGAAATCAGACGGAGGTAGAAAACACGTAGCGATTTGACTAGAAACATTTGAAGACGCGCGCGCTCTGCCTCTTCACTGCGCGTCGCCATGCTCGCTCGCACCCGTTTCCTCGCCGACCGCGCCCTCTTGCGCGTCCCCGCTTCATTCGCTCGTCTCGCGTCGGACGCGAAAGAGAAACCCGCTTTACGTCCGATGCCCGAGCAAACCATGCGGGTTGACGAAACGATGCCCTCGCCCGAGGACGACGAACTCGCTCGACGGCGACGACGTGCGCTGCGCTCGTGGGCCGAGGAACGCCTCGGGGTGGAGCGCGCGGCATTAATGAGCATTCTGGCGACGCATCGAGTGCAGATTCCGGGTGGTTCGAGCGAGGCGAACGAGCTCATGGATGATTTGCTTGGTTGGAAGGCGGAGAGCGTTTCGAAGTGATGAAAGAATTAGAAATAGAATTGTAAACTAATGGTAGACTACGGATTGAGGGCTAACGAGAAATGGGGACGCGGTCGGACGGGGCGTCAGCGTAGAGCGTGGTGCGTTGACGAGAGATGCGACCGGCGTTCTCGATGATGCGGCGCATGGCGGCGGCGTCGATTTCTTGCCCAAACTGCGCGCCGGCGGCGCGCGTGATGGACTCGTTCATGAGCGTGCCGCCCATGTCATTGCATCCGGCGTGTAAGAGATGGGCGGCAAACTCGGGACCCATCTTCACCCAGCTCGCCTGGATGTTCGTGATGCCTATCGGACCGAGCACGAGCCTCGCAACAGCGTGCATGAGTATGCATTCGCGCAGCGTTGGACCTTTTCGAGAGGCGCCAACGCGATATGTGGGCGCTTCAAAGTGTACAAAAGGAAGCGGTACAAATTCGGAAAATCCGCCCGTTTTCATGTGCAAATCCCGAATCGCCGCGAGGTGGCGCGCCCATGCGAGCGGACCGTCTGTGTCAACGTGGCCGAACATAATGGTGCTTGTTGTCGGTACACCCACTGCATGCGCATCTTCCACGACCTCCAACCATTGACTCGAGTTAAGCTTGTCCGGACATAGTATTTTGCGCACTTCATCGTCGAGGATCTCCGCAGCGGTGCCAGGTAAAGATCCCAGGCCGGCGTCTTTCAGCGTGCGTAAGTAATCGCGCACGCTCATGCCAAGCGTTCTGGCGCCATGCGAGACCTCAAGAGGTGAGAACGCATGCACGTGGATGTCTGGTGCGCCGACTTTGGCGGCTTTGATAAACGCTAGATAATCTTCTCCGGTGAAAGACGGATGAATACCGCCTTGCATGCACACCTCTGTCGCACCTTTTGACCACGCCTCTGCTGTGCGCCTGGAGACTTCATCCAAATCGAGCAGATAAGGCGACCCTCGCAGCTCTTCCGCGGCTTTACCCTTACTGAACGAGCAGAAAGTACACGCGAGCGTGCAAATGTTCGTGTAATTAATGTTTCGATTGCTCACGAACGAGACAATCTCGCCACACTGCTCTTTGCGTAAATCATCCGCCGCCTTGCACACCGCGTCAAAATCATCTCCTCTCGCCTGCAGGCACATCACGATGTCATCCAAGTCGTAACTTTTCTCACATATATTGGCGATCGCGCGCGAGACGGCGGGCGACGAGCGACGCTCTCTCTCAACTTTGCCACCGCACGGCACCGCACCGTTCACGCCAACGATGTCCAGCGAGCGATCTACACTTGTCAAGTCAACTGGGCGACCAGGGGACCACGCCGTTCCGCGCGCCAGAAATTCACCATCGGCGAGCTTACGAACATAACTCGCGACATTCGCATCGAGCCACACCTCCGCACCTCCCAAGTTTCCTCCCGAGTCATCCATGCGTAAAAATTTTGGATGCACGCACAATCTCGGCACCAACGCCATGCCCTCCTCGGCGCACACTGCGGCGAGATTCTCTATGTGCGGCCACGGTGCTTCGGCGTTGACATGATCAGGGGTGACGGGAGATATTCCGCCCCAATCATTCGCCCCAGCGCGCAACAGCGCGCGCCAACCTTCTTCCTGACCGGGAGTCAAGTTTGGCGGTGCCTGAATAACCATGTCCGCGCCAAAAATCTCCCTCGCCGCGCTCACCGTCCATGTGAGCTCCTCAAGCGATGGATTCGGATGGTTTTCCATCGGTGTTCCGGGTTTGGCGAGAAAATTCTGTATGATGAGCTCCTGGAGATGTCCGTGTCTCGCGTGCACGTCTCGCAGAGCAAGGAGAGCGTCCACGCGCTCTTCGCGAGTCTCCCCGATACCTATCAACAACCCAGAAGTGAAGGGAATGCGTTCCTCTCCCGCTATTTCGATGCATCGCAAGCGCGTCTTCGGTCGCTTCGTCTCGCATCCCGCGTGCGCCTCGCCGGGCTCTAACAAACGCTCGCTCGTCGTCTCCAGCATCAACCCCTGCGAGGCGCTCACGCGACGAAGCGCCCGCAGCTCCTCCCGAGTGAGCACTCCCGCATTCACGTGCGGCAACAATCCCGTCTCTCGCAGAACGGCCTCGCACGCGCGCACCGCGTACTCCACCGTGCTCGCGCACCCGAGCTCGCGCAAAGCCTCGCGCGCCGCCTCGCGCGTCGCCTCCGGTCGATCCCCGAACGTCAACAAACACTCCGTCGCCCCCGCTCTCGCCCCCGCTCTCGCCACCTCTAACACCTCATCGATCGTCATGTACACCGATCGCCAATCCTCGGGATCTCGGACGAACGCGCAGTACCCGCACGCGTCCCGACACGCCCGCGTGAGCGGGACGAACACTTTCGGCGAGTACGTCACCACGTTCGCGTTCGAGCGCCCGCGCGCGCGTCCCGACGTCACCGCGATCCCCCGCGCGCCCGTCGCGAGATCCTCCACCGCGCCCGTCGTCCACGCGCGACGCGACGCGTCGTCCACGCGCGACGCCTCGCCGTCCTTCGCCTCGACGCCTCGCCCGCGCGCGCGACGCCTCGACGCGCGTACCCATCCCCCCACGCGCGC